GGGGGGTGGGGGGGGTGGGATAATGACGTCCATGGGGGTGATGATATTTTGAATTTTCATGGGGGTTCGGTTGAGGTTGTTGATGGATACGTTCTATGCCGACATTGTATCTCACCTACTGCAAGTTTTGGCTTCGACGATGACGGTTTCGGATGTTTCGACGGTGTTGTGTTTGGTTTTGTTGTTTCGTTTGTGTGGTGTTCGGCAACCGCCTCAAACAGATTTGGAGTGTTTGGGACCCCTTTTTCGTGTTAACGTTTTTACGTTAGATCAATATATTGATATTTTCACGACCCCTCTGTTGGATGACACATTGAACTTTGTTGTGCAAACATGTTTGATCTCCGAACGTTCTTGGGTAGATTGGGATCTGGTTGGACAAACACGTTGGAATCTTTTTCGATGTTGGTTGGAATTTTGTCGAGGTACGAGTAGAACCCCTAACACAGTGTTGACAGCTGCACTTCTAGTTTTATCCCGTCGTTTACTTCGTTCCTGCGCAATGCCGACCATGAGTGCCACACCAAATGTCGTGATGAGCGCCACGCCAGATGTCGTGACTTGACACATCATTTGTCTTTTGTTCCCCTCGCATGTTAGAAGAGTTTGTGGGCATCTCCGAGCGCCTGATGAACTACGTTTACGCGTTCGTTTGGCGCTCCAACTTAGATGCCGATGTAGACCTGACCAGAGCACTCGGGAGCCTCTGAGAAAGTCTTTGCGGCAACTACTTCGGCCGTCGAAACGAACCACCGCTGAAACGGGTACGAAACTCTGATATTTACACTATAAAATGCTCATTGGCTTCCCAAAACACAGGTAATTCACCTACTCTTCAAACACTAAGGCCTCAAAACACTGAAAGGGTTCACAAAAACGAACATGCCCACGAGACGAAAGCCTCAAAAACCAGGGGCCCTAATAAGAACGTGTGACCTTGTACACACAGCCTCCGAACTTCGGCTCATTCTGCATTGGCTTCTATTTTTGTTCGATGCAATCAAACTGCTGGAAGGCCCCATGACCTGCTGAGAAAGAACAACACCATTAGATCTCAATCAACATGTGCTTCTCTAACCATATCGTCTTCACTTCCCTCTCGTGAGACTCTCGTGTTTATACAAAAAATACATATAGATAGATACATAGATAGATAGATAGATAGATAGAGCCTCCTTACTAATGTCTTGACAATAAATATATATGGTACCGGGTCAGCGAAGAATTTGCCGCCAAGGTTCTAGGATGTATCTCCTTCGGCAAAAGTTGGCCCCAAACCACAGTGTGCCTTTCTTCCGCTCATCATCGGAGGAAATGTCCTTAGACCAGTGACTAGACGAACGCGTGGCCAAGTGCCTTGCAGGAAGCCTGTCCTACACATTACCTTGTGGCCTGTTGCATCGTCATGGAGGTCTACACAGCGAGTGACAAGGTCAGCGACGCGACGTGCTTGATCTGACGACAGACTTGGGCATAAGCAGTCTTGGGGGCTGGGCATTCAGAAAAAACTAGGCAAGCCAACTTTCAAGGATGAAAGCGAGAAAGAATCAGACTGTCTTTTTGATTGAACACCTCTTGCCAAAGTGTTTTCCAATCAAATCAAGACGCTTGCAGGGCCAAATCTGCCTCGACAATGGGTGACCCATCATCAGCGACACCGGGCTCTTGTGGGCCTGGAAAAGCCACTTGAGGGCGGAATCAAAAGCGACACTGCTTTGAAGAGCTTGATAATTTAGATTTAACTTGGGTAAGGTCTGCAACAGCAATCCGTGCCAGGTCGTGATTTGCTTTGATTTCCGTGTGTGTGTGTGTGGCTTTGTGGTGGTTTAGGTTTCTGTAATCCAAAGTGATCCGTGCTGACGCAAAAAAAGGACTCCTACACAGTAGGCATGGGGACTGGAGTCGGCAGTAAGTATGTGTTGATGCAAAATGGGCAATACAATGGGCACTTCACCAATTATATACCCAAAAAAATCAGCTCCAACACATGGTGTTGACCACGGGAAAATGGAAGGAGCCCTTGCAATTCAAGTACATTAGAAAAGTGGAGGCCCCCCTTCCACACCACAAGCAAACTTGGAACTCTCTCATCAGCTGTTGCAAATGGTGGGGAGTCTATTCTGAGTCTATTGAACAAAACCTAGAAGGGCCAAACAAAGGACCACAGCCACCATATTGAACACCAGTCACTGATAGATCAAGAATCATATCATATTACTTTATACTACTATATACATTGTTCTATACAAATTAGCAATTGTCAATCTTTATCTGCTACATCCGCAACAACTCCCGCCAAGCCCTTCCTTGCCCCGCTATTTCGCGACAGGGGATTCTTTTGCGTGAAGCAGGCTTTCCCACGTTATATATCGTTGATGCAGTGCGGCTTCACAACAACACAGGACTCGACTTTACGCACGGCGACCCAAATGTCACATTTTATCTACCAATCATGGAATGGCCTACTTCAATGCACTTGCGTGGCGACTGCGCTCCTTGAATCCATGGAATACATATTGTTTTTGTACTTTCGAGTTTTTGTGCCTTTGCCTTTCCCGTCTTTGGATTGAATTCCTTCGTGCTTGGCCTTTCTCCAGATCAGAGAGCTCCACAGCCACCGTGAGATCTCGAGGCCCCAGGCGCAGGGAGGAGGCTGCGCAAGCAGCACCGCCGGCGATGAGTGGCACGCAGCCATTAGCCAAAGACATAGGTAATGGCCGGACTGGGCCCACTAAGTCGTGTCATAGCCTGCTCTAAACATGCAGGTGGATGGTCTAAGAGATGTCTCATTTCAAAAGAAAGCACAAACCAGGCCATTCACTGCACCGAGCGAAAGAACTGATAATTGTTACAGTGCAGCGGAAAGGCCAAACATCCAGATTCCATGGGGCACTGAAGAAAGACAAAAAGACCAAGATCCACCCAATTACTGTCATGTCGTCTCTGATCAATAGGGCTGGTTTCCTGTGCGCTCGGATGCCCACCCGGCCCTGCAGAAGTTCCACACGACACTTTGCCCTACAAAGTGGAAGCAGCTTGAGCCCAAACATGCCAAATGATGGGTTACCAAATGCCACATCCACCCGACGCCTCATTACCGTGACCGAATCCAAAAAAGCGTGAGATTGCCCATTCCAAATTAGAAAAGCTTGTCAGCCAGCTCTTTGACAAACCTATTGGGCTGCCGCCATCAACTCAGTTCCCCAGCACTTGGTACAAAATGTGCATCTGCGGAATCAGCAGGCTTTGAGGCGCAAGCACCTCAAACACCATTCCAGAAGATGTGGAGAGAATAATTGCCCAGCCCTCAATGACTTTTTTGAGTTGTACTCGCCCCCACTCAACTGCTTCTGTGACGGCGCCTGCGCTTTCTTCTTCTGAGCTTTTTGTGGATGCAGTCTCCTAGAGGCAAGTCCAAGCAATACATGCAGGATGCTCCGGTGGACCCCTGCATAATGGAACACCATGTGCTTGTCAAAATGATGGCTGAATGTGGAATGAAATCACGGCCTCTTCTGACTGAAGCTGTTCTGATTTGTCCTCACCAGCTTGACACAGCAAACAAACATTGGCACTTAGCACTGTCAATGCGCAGTGCTGGACCTTCTCTGCTTCAAACTCCCTTTCCTTGTGGGCTGCAAGCTGGTTGATCAGGGCTGCAAATGTGACTGAAAAAACAGGTCCAAGATGGTCCAAGCATTCTCCCTGGAGGGCGCTCCTCGTCTGCCAATGCTGCACAACGCTCAGGACTTTCACCGCTCTCCTCGTGCAAGCACAAAAAAGACATCGAATGGACATAGGCGGCAGCACAATCTTCGCAAACTACAGCTGTTGATGTACGATTCCCAACCTGCACCCACATAAGAAGGCTTTGTTAGGCTTTGTTAGTTAAGGAGACCCCGCAGGGTCAGGGGGGCCCCTTAGATGGCAGGCGGCGCCCCCGAGACAAGACACCTTTCCTGTGCCAGACCGGCCCTTTTCCTGGACTTTACCTCACCCACATGCCATCCTGGTGGACAGCTGTGTGAAGGATGGAACGTCGCTTGGTTTCTTTCGGATTGCTTTCATGTTTGCTACAATTCTACCCTTTGGTCTCTGGCATGCCTCCCAAGCCTTTGTAGCTTGCACCAGCACCTGAAGTAGGAAAGCAAAGCCTGACGGTTTTGGTCCTTGATTTTGCTCATTTCAGCAATCCTATCTGCTTGGGCATTCTTGCTCCTCCAGCCAGCTGTTCCCCGATGCATTGAGTCCATGGAAGCTTGCAAACAGCCCTGGCCCTCTTGTTTTGGCAGCCGGGCTCTCCGAATGACCACTGCAGGCTTTTGTGGCAATTCCTCGGGAAGCACTCCGATAGGCTCAAAAGGCTCGATAGGACCGAATGGCGACTGCTCAAAGCTAGTAACAAGTGCCACGCTAGTAGTAACAGGTGCCTTACTAGTAGTAACAA